CAGGGCCACATATCCTCCAAACAGCCAGGGCAACAAACCAAATCTCAATCCACACTAAAGCACATACACACACACAAAACCCCAAAATCAAAGTCATATCCACTTATTTGTGCAAAAAGGATGCAGAGAAAATGCATCAAATTCAATCTGTGGACAGAGAGAGAGAGGGGTAAGGTGAGATAAGTTGTGAGGAAGTGATTTTTTGGGTGGATTGGCTGAACTTTTGAGCCCTGTTTGGTTTGAGCAGATGTAGAATTAGTACACATCACTTTGTATCAGAGAGACATTGAACACAAGCTGCCGCTCAGAGGCCAAATACCTCGCAGTCACACAGATGCATAGGCACACCTTGCCTCGCCTAGTGTCTGTGATTCTGCTGTGGTAATTATCAATGTGATGTCAATTCCCACAGCAACTAATTCTTCTTATTGTACGTTTGGTGTCTCCAAATACCAGTTGCCTGTTACACTAGTTGAAACTACTACAAAACACAATCAGTTTTATACCACTATCAAACTAGGGAGAAAAACTTAGTCTACCCAACTTGAGTAGCATCTGATTTTTGACTTCTGTTTTTAAATTGAAAATAGTTCATACATCCCAGTAACTGCAATGTTTAATTGAAACGTATCAGAATTTCAATAATTTTTAGATTGTATTCCAGACAATAACAAATCAGTCTTTAGATATTAAAAATATTTCACATAGCACAGTGATCTGTTGATAATGACACTGAAATATAGTGGATAATTTAGTTGAGTTATCATAGTATTCTAATATATATAACTTGTCTTGTCCTGCTGGTAAAGGTGGCATGTAGTTAAGTGACAGTGACAACTGTATGAACACTGTGCATTCATTGACCAATTATGTGTGTACTGGTAAATATCTTCTGACAGTGCCAATATTTATCCTAATATTATCACTTTCCCTTGATTTAAATTCATGTTGAGGTAATTTATTGAAAATGTTGTGACATTTGACAGCCCTATTCATAGTGGACCTTCCATGGAAGTGGACATACACATGGAGAAACTGATTCAACAGCAAGCACCCAGATGAAATTGATGCAAACATGCTGTCATTACACAAGGGAATATTTCTTTTTTGTACTTTGGAGCAGGGGATCCTGTTGCGTGTCAATGAACTGGGCTAAACGTGCATGACAAGTGATGGTGTGTGGGTGGAGGGAAGTAAGGAGGAGTCAACCCCATGGTGGTGTCAGCGAAGGATCTGTGTGTAATCTGTAGAAGACGCATGCAATAGACCGCTACACTACTTTATCTACAAGGCCCCTAATTGCGAGGGATGTTGAGGAACACATGTTAGTAAAAGAGGAAAAGGAAGGGGTGTCAGATGTCAGCAATGTGCAGGCATATGGTTCCTACAAGTTGGGTTACGTAAACTGGAAATGACACCAGAAATCAGGTTTGCTAGAATGAACTTGTGGCCTGATGCGAGGACTGCGTGATACTGCGGAATCCAGTACATTTTCTTCATTATAGTCATAATAACAGGTTAATAAAATAGGGGACAGACTGACAAACCTACTGATTAATCGCTCTGTCTATTGCTAAACCTAACATTATATCACACCACATAAAATCGTGACTAAAATCATGATTGTGACCCTTACATTTAGAAACACTATGATATTAAGACAACATCAAGGACAAATGTTATCATCACTGTACCGTCAAACACCGACAGAAACCGTACAGGAAACAACATGACGTACCCCAGTTCTTAAAAAAGCAGTGCCTACAGTCCAGTCAAAAACAGATTGGAGCAAAAGAGACCCCACAGGAAAATGCAATGACCTTTAGAATTCAAATGTAAACCATAAAAGAAAGATAAGTGCTTGGCCATCTTTACTCGTTGAAGAGGAGGCTTTAACAAAGCAAGAACATGACGCGAGGTAACACTGGTGACCCAGCATATTATTCCTGCTTAAAAGGGCTCGCAACCTTCAACTCAGCCATTGTGTGGGGCCATCTCATCAGGAATGCAACACTCTTGCACATACACAAACACCCACACAACCCTTCCCCTTTCAATTCAAAGCCCCCCACACTTCACCCCCTATTCCTTTTATTCCTTCATTATGCACTCGTCCTTCTCTTATGCTCACAGCAAATATGTGCTTTACTTTGTTCACCTTTTTCACCGTGTACCCTCAACATAACCCACTGTCTGCCTTGGACATTTGTGCCCACCAACTTGAGTAAACAGAAAAATGGAAACGGTATGAAGGTATCAAAGGTAAAACACCCCCCCTCCCACACACATACCCCTACCAAGAAGGGGTTGACCTTGCATGCAAGCTACCACTATCACTTAGGAGATGCTGTGGTTATTGTTCGGAAAAATGGGGCCCATCTGTTTGTTCGTTGCTTGTGCTTTATAGTGAGAAGACATATTGTACCATATGTGGAGCGTACAGTTGAATTAAAGCCATTGCCATTATAAAGCAACCACTTCCCAAAAAGCAAGATTCTCATTTCCATCCTGGCATGATGGTTTGGCTTGAGTTTTATTTTTATTTTAAAATATGAAGAAATGCTATATAATAAAAAATAAAAGGACAGATGTGGCAAATATTTTAATGTACAGCACTTGCTTGCTAAATTCTAGATTAATTTTATATTTAAAAAAAAAAGTGTATGACAAAGTCATAATTTATTCAATCAAACACGAGAAAGTCATCAACTGCTGTATAACTTCTTCACAGCATCACATAAGGTTAAAAAATAGCCCAATGTGAAAGTAAACATTCAATCACCTCTCATGTAGTATAAGATTACAGTCCTGTGAGTTCATCATGATGATTAGTTACAGTGTATTGAGAGTGCATGTTTGCATGTGTGCCCCCTGCTGCATTATAATACGCATACAGTAGCTTTAGTCTGTAGTGTATGAGCACTCGGCCGCCAACCCAGTCCCAGCACTCAATCACACGGAGCCGATCACATTTGCATCTTGTAGCATTGAGTCGGGAGCAGATTGGAGGATCAGCAAATGGGCTGAATAATATTATCTGACAATCAATTATTTCTGCAATTGTGTTACATCAAAAACATGATTTCTGCTGTCGAGTTTGATTTGTCAGGTTGGATTGGAGGTTCAGTCATGTAAATGTAACGTAGGGACTGATTTAACTACTGCACGACGTAGGGACTGATTTAACTACTGTGCGCTGAGTGAATGAAAGAGACAGTAATAGTGTCGAGGACCATGCAAATCACCTGCAAAGGAAACGCTGTAAATCACGGTGTGAGAGGTGCACAGAGCGGCAACAAGGAGCAATAACACACACCACATGTACTATTCAAATGTGAATGTCATTATTGTACAAGTCATAAACCATGATCCAAACAGTATTTACCAGGTGATGATACTGTGCATTAAATTATACTAAATTGTTCATTAAAAATAAAGTATTGGCAACTAAAATAACAAAAATAAGACAAGAACAATGTGTTTGAAAGCCTGAAAAATAGTACATTTAATTATCTGTTTTTTTGCTTCAAACATTATGGTGACAGCATATCTCAGGGATCAGCTAAGGAGCTTTTGACCTAAACACTATCTGTCCAGTCAATTCTGTTATTGCCAATCATGTAATATTATTTAGAGTTTTAATTATCCCTTTTGCAATTCTTTAACACTATAAATGCTGAATCACCGAGCACAACAGAACAAGTGACACTAAGACCGGCTTTAAATTACAGAATGAAACCAGGGATCGACCTCTCCCTCTTTCTTTCCCTGCTTTGAAAACTGGTGTCTCCAATCTTTTCCACAACCAAATGACTCTTAACTCTGCTGAGTGCAGCATGGGTCAGGCAGCCAGATTGAAGCCAGGGTGTCTGGTTAGTGTTTAAGTCTAACAGGAGATTTCTGATGTCTGATTTCACTCAACAGGCCAGCCGCTACTCTCTGTTTCAGAGGGCCTTGCAGTAATGCCTTGCAGATACGCCAGTGGGGGAACAGTGGGGGAGTGTATATAAATACGCAGTTAAGGCTTGATCCAAATTTATTCTCATTTTAAAGGCTGCAGTGTTTCTAATATTTTTGGCCACCAGTTACAAACACCTTTCAGTGTAATGCAATGCAATTGGCTACTAACCACAGCCTCCAAAATGACCATTAAGCTGAATCAAGACCTCTCCTAAAGAAAAGGCTGAGCTGCATTTGATGTACTAAACTGTACTGTGAAAATTTAAATCCTTCACAGGCAAAACTACCACTTTTTCAAATGTCAAAAAAGCAAGGCTACAGGTGCTGCTCTATTCAACAAAGAGGGAACATTAAGAAAAAAAGGTACACAACTAACACAATATTTCACCAATTCTTATATATTTAGATTTCAGATTTCTAATAAAAAAATATTACTAAATGGGTGGCCTTTCTTGTTCTTTTGAAGCAGCAGTGGCTTGGTGGTGCTTTTGAGAAGCAAGGCCGGCAGACAAAATCAACTTAGCAAGCAATCTTGTGACTTGCTATTATGTTTAGTTCCAAAGTCAGCTGGTTCAAATCCTTTGAATAACACAGAAACCTGTGTGGGAAAAGTGAGTTAAAGTACTAGTAGTTATATACCAGCTTGGTAGAATATTGCATACTATGGATAGCGTTTTATTGTTTGCCTTTGCACCTTCAACCTTAAAATGAGAATGCCATTTCTGGATCTTTCCCAGTTCCTTAGGACTGCACACATTGCTGTGTTGTGTATCTGTGTTTGATGAGTCAAAATGTCCACAGTGTGAAAGATCTACGATATTAATGTAAAAGAGGGGGTGTCACTGTTTCTGTGTGAGTCTTATTGATGACGTTTGTTGACTGTAATTTCTATAATTATATTTTTAGTAATTGTAAAAAGTCATGATTGTCAGTCACTGAAAACAGAGGTCCAAAATGACAATCTTGCCCCCACAGAGTAAAAAGTGGAGGGAGTATCTGTATATCTATATATCTGTATTAGAGTTGGTCTGACTGCTCACCTCTGGACTTCTCTTCCTCCTTCCCCAAGCCTGGGGTGGTCTTGCAAGTGTAGGTAGGAGTGGCCTCCTCTTCTTGGCTTGGGGTAGTTCCTAGTGGGAAACTGACAGGGCGAGAGCTGGTAACTGAGCTGGATGGTCGGGAACTGGCACAGTTCTGTAAGAAATGAGAAAGCAGTGTCGGCAGCAGGAGATCACTGTAAGGAAACACACAGTCACTGGTCAACTTTCCTGTTGACTGATGAGAACAACGACAAGTGCAAACATACTTTCCTAGTTCACCATTGGTTATACAAATTAGTAATTAGTATTAGCACATTTTTCATTCACATTCATCAGCCTAATTACAACTTTCTCTTCTATTCTATTTCAACTTACATTCATATGTTTTAATATATATTTTAATAAGTGATCGAAAATACATTTAAATTATTTTAGCATAAAACACAATTAATCAAGTAAAATCTACAGTTTATAGTCAATATTGTGTATTGCATAGAAGAATATGTTATGCACTGAAGAAACCTAATCATTAGTTAGAAGGATTAATGTGGCTTTTCACTTTTGTTATTTGCCAAAATAAGTACTGAATAAATTAATTCAGCTTCAGCGCAAATGACAAACACATGCAAAGTGGAAAGAGACAAACACCTGCACTGCTACACATCATTTTAACTCACTCCAACCAGGGGTCCCAGCAACAGAAATGAACTGTATTTAATTTAAATTTATTTATCAAACAACAAAACTATTCCATTTTTGCTGTACTAGACAAAGACAAAAAAGAAGCATCAACTCTCAACTGTCCACTTGTAAAAATCAAATTCCAGTCCAATTAAATGTTTTAGCGCCAAGACTGATTCCAACCAACACCTCGCTTCCTATACGTTGTCAAAACTTGAATTAAGATCAAAAAAACTAATCCGCTTCCAATTTATATCTATATTTCAGTGGTGTCAGGGGCATGGAGTATTGGGGGGGGGGGGTTGTTTTTTATTTGGGTCTTGC